ACTAGCCAATTCTGGAAGTCCTAATGTCATCGTGGTAGTCCATTATCTCCACCAAGAAGAAATTCCTATTTTAACAGTTTTGTTAAAATACTGAAAAGTGTACAACAGATTCATTTTCTCCTTCTCTAACAACAACAGCATCAAAGAGAAGATGTCCCTAGTTTTAACAGATGGGAAAAGACTGAAGAATAAGAGTGCTGGATGTTTCATTATATCTCTAAATGTCTTCAAGGCTCATGACTCACTGACCAACTTAGGTTTCCTGCCTTTTGAGTCATGTATGCCAACATTGTTAAGACACAGGAGACTGATGGCTCTTGCCTGATCCTTTTCAGTCATCAGACAAAATTCATGGATCCAGAGTGAATTTCCTCAAAGGTTCAAGAGAACTGTGAGGATGCCTGTGGTGTGGTCCTCATCATACTACTTCCTCTCATTCACAGTGTTCTCAGCCTTGGACAAGTCTTTTACCTTCCCTAGGTCTGTTTTTCCATCTATATTGACAGAAGGCAGAAAGTAATATCAAGATTCTTTCATCTCTAGTGTACTCTGATTACCAGCATGAATGACTAGAAAGACTGTCTCACTCTGTTTACTTGGAAAGTCAGTTCATCCTCCACTATCACTCCTACTGCTGCCAAACAGCTATTCACCTCCAAAGCTCTCTGCGTCTCTGGCATTTTTTTCATCTGAGCATTCATCTCAAGTCCTATGGGGTGCTTTTGTCTTGGCTTCATATCTGGAGCGGCATGAAGCAACTGTGTTTGGCATCATTGAGAATGACCCAAGACACAGAATCCCAGCTCTCTGCCCATGCTCTGTGATCACAGGATTACTTCAAATTTTTTGGAGATTCCTTTACCTTTGCAATTTCTCCCCTTCTTTTATTTCAAACTGGAACTATATTGGTTACTTTAAAAATCCATTATAATTGTAACACATTATTGTTGTAAAATTTAAACAACACAGAGTATGTCAAGTGGAAAGGAACCGATACATGTCAAAATGCCATACTTTTCTGTCACCTTTTTCCACTCCATTTCACGTAGCATAAGTCTTCACATTTCAACACCTACAAACATGTCTCATTCATTTTAAAAGTTTCACAATATTTTATCATGTGTTTAATCAAATACCTATTGATGTGATTTAAATAATTTAAATTGTTTTTGTTATTACTAATAATGCTATTGAGATCTTACCATATATATGAAATTATTTTCATTGGTTAAATTCACAAAAGAAATTTGTGTGTGCATGTGTGTGTTAAAGAAAACAAAGTTAAAATTTGGTAAATTGTTTTGCCCCTGCCTGCCCAAAACGGTGTACCATTTTTAATCAGCAGTGTCTGAGAATGCTTGTTACCTCATAACTTGGACTTCATTGGTATTATAAACAGGTCTTCGATGTTGATAGACAGTTGACATTTTCCACTATTATTTAATCTGAGGTTTGTTTGTTCTTGATAGACATAGTTGGATAGGATTTTATAGACATTTGTTATTGTATTTCTTCTTTATAAATTCCCTGTTTGCATCTTTTACCTCTTTGCAGTTGTTTCTTTTTCTTGATGATTGTTAGAAACTCTTCAAGTTTTAGGATAGTAACTCTTTCTATATGTATTGAAAATATGATCTCTAGTTTTCCATTAGCTTCTCAACTTTGCTTATGACATCTAGTTTTTGTCTAAATTAAGTTTGATAATTTTATGTAGTCTGCCTTCCTTGTTTTGTCACACTTAGAGAAAAAACAAAAACAAAAATGTTTTCATCTGATGGCTGTATAAATATTTGTCAGTGGTGTTTTCTAGTTCTTTAATGTTTCATTGAAAATCAAATATTCAATATATTTAGAATTTTTAAATACAATTTAACTTTTTTCCAACTTACTATTGCCCTAACACCACACCACTTGGTATGGCACTGTGGGTTAATGCCCTGGACTGTAAGGTCGGTCGGTGGTTCAAGCTCACCAGCCACTCCTTGGAAATTCTATAAAGTGTTGCTATGATGGACTCAAACGTAGCAACAACAGTGACTCTACGGCACTTAACAACCACAACCACCATAAAATGTAACTTTAATCCCCTATGATAGCATGTTGTTGCTCTTGTTGTTAAGTGCTGTCAAGTCGGTTCCGACACATTGTGACCCATATAGTGTCTCCAATGAGTGGCTGGTGGGTTTACACTGCCAATCTTGACACTAG